GGGGGAGACGGAGATCATCAAGTTGAGAAGGATGAAGGCCGCCCTGACGATCGAGGAGGTGATGAACAAGATCCAGCCAATCAAGGAGGCGATGGAGATCCCGCCGATCAAGAAGTTGGCGAACAGGTTCTGCCTCAGCTTGATGAAGTGGAAGATGAAGACCGGGTTGCGGAGGAGGATGCAGTCGCTCTCAATGAAGGCTGGAGAAAGCACATTGATGATCTGGCTGCGCCTGTGGGAGTTCAAAATATCACACTGGTGGAGCCCCTGGAGTCGAGAGGTCAACATGATGTCACAAAGGTGGCCACAAGGATGTACTGCCGCTTCAAGGCGATGGGCTTGAGGATCATCCGTGTCCACACCGACAGAGGGTGCGCTTTCTTCTCCAAGGTGTTCCAATCCTTCTGCCGGCGCTTTGGTCTTTACCAGACTATGACGGGGGGCGATGAGGGCCCTTCAAATGGGAGAATTGAAACGGAGGTGCAACAGGTCAAAAGACGGCTCCGGATGTTGGTCAGAGAAAGTGGCCTTGGAGAAGAGCTGTGGCCTGGCATCGCTCGCTATGTTGGCGAAGAACGACTGCGGCATCAATGCACCATGCTTGGAGTCCCTTGCGCACCGCTGATGCCAATTGGAGCCCGTGTCACTGTGAAAACCAAAAGGTGGCACAGAGCTGGTTTTGGGCCGTTGATTCCGCCCTTTCGCACGATGACCATCCTCGGACCATCACCTTTCATGACGGAGGGCTATGTGTTGAGGGAAGGTCAACAAGTTCAACACGCACGTGTGGTTGTCCTCACTGACCCGATGGCTGACCGAGCTGTTCTGGAACTCCAGGAAGCTTCTGATCCATCGCGCCCGTTACACCGGGTGATGGGGAAACAGCCGCCTGATCCGTGCTTGCCGCAGATTCCGGCACCAAGGTTGAGTGATGATCCACATCTTCAAGCTCTTCAAGCTGGACGTGATGGTTTGGGGGGAGAGCACAAAGAAGAAGTTGGTCCAGCCCGTCACTTCGTTTGGTCTGGGGGGGAGTCTCTCCTCTTGAAAAGCAGTGATGGTGGTGAAATTCGAAAAGGATATGATGATGCACACCGTGAACCCTGGGTGTGTGGTGAGTGTGGTCTTCAGGTGCTCCCGGTGAAGTGTGGTGACCAGCGGGAGTATGTGATCGGCAAGCTGAAGGAGGTGGGACAGTGTCGCTTCTGTGAAACCCCACTTGAAGTTCCATGCCGTGATGCAATACTGGGGCGCGTGGAATGTGGGCTGGACGAGGCACTGAAACTTCGTGACCGTGGAGAAGAAGAGCACTGGAGTTGGAAGCGTTTATGGTTGGACCTGGCTAAAGACGTGGTGGTGGGTGAAGATGAAGGAACCATGCAGGGCTACATCCTCGACTATATGGAGAAGATGGTCTTAGAGATGGAGGACAAGCTGACTGAAGTGCGAAGTGGCGATGAGGAATACCAATTGGCTCTCAAGAATGAGGTAACATCGCTGGAAACGTCAACGACAGCGGTTCGGCCTGTGAAGGTGAAGGATTTGGTGAATGAACCGGGCTACGAAGAGATGCTGGTGGTCCCATCGAAGGTTGTCCCGACGGTGAAGGCCCCGGATGCTCGCAAGAAAGCCCGCATTGTTCTTTGTGGCAACCTGGTGGAGGACACCTCAAAACGTCAAGAACAACCTATGGCCCTGGAGGATCGTCAAGATGACCTACCGCCTCAACAGAAGACCATGGGAAGCAGTTTTGACCTATATGCCAGTGGCATTGATGGAATGTCGCTGAGGTGCACCTTGCGAAAGGCGGCTCAGGAGAAGTGGTCTATTGGGGTCACTGATGTCTCCACAGCGTTCTTGCTTGCACCTCGGAAATCGTCCAGGCTGATGGCGACGAGACCGCCGTCTATACTGGTGGAAGCTGGACTCATCGAACCTGACATTCGCTGGGTGATTGAGAAGGCGGTCTACGGCCTGGACACATCTCCCTCTGACTGGCAGGCCTACAGGGATGAAGCTCTGCAGAACATGCGTTGGTGGGAAGATGGTGTGCACAACTGGGTTGTTCCCACTCCAGAGCCCAACGTGTGGCGATTGATGACTGCGCCTGGGGGCGAGGGGGACTTTGTGAACGTGATGGATGATGGTTCAACGGCGGGATACGCTTTATCCTATGTCGATGACTTCATTGTCACTGCGCCTCGGCCTACGGCAGAACGTTTTTTGAAGAAGCTCTCAACCATGTGGAAGTGCGCAGAGCCGAAGTGGGTGACTCAGCACCAGTGGTTGAAATTTTGTGGAATAGAGATGAGGTGGAAGGGGGAGGAATTGTTGGTTGGGCAGCCTGACTACACGCGGGAAATTGTTAGTCGGTACCCTGATCTTCAACCTCGCCAAGTTCCTCTTCCGAAGCTGGATGATGTGGACCTGGAGGACGAGATTCTTCAGGAGGATGTGAGAAAATGTCAAATCATCATTGGTGAGCTCCTTTGGTTATCAACACGCACCAGGCCTGATCTGAGCTTTGCAGTCTCCTACCTGGGCTCCAGAGTGACAAAATGCCCGAAGAGAGTGCTCAAGTTGGCTCATCATGATCATCATGTGGTGGGGTACCTCGTGAACACCCTTGACTATGCGCTCGCCTATAAGCCCTGTTCCGAGGAGATGGACTCCTATGGCCGGCAGAGCTCAATGTTTAGGCTGGAGGTGTTGGCAGACTCGTCGTTTGCACCAACTGGAGGAAAAGGTCATCAGGGCATCATGTGCCTGTGGGGTGGCGCTTTGGTGGCTTGGGAATCAAAGACTCAGCCCTTTGCAACGCTGAGTACAACTGAATGCGAACTTCTGGGGTATGTTGATGGCCTCACCCTGGGAGAAAGTGTTGGAGCGATTGTCAACGTCCTCGAGCAGAATGCGCTGGCCCATGAAGGCTGCTACGTCTTGCGGGGCGACAATCTGTCAGGTTTGCAGCTGCTGCATGCCCCAAGCGGGCCTTGGCGGACGAGGCATCTTCGACTTCGCAGCCATGTTTTGAGGGAACGGTTGCAGATGAAGTTGTGGCATGCAGAGCACATCCCTGGCGCCGATCTATGCGCTGACCTGTTGACCAAGGCGATCACTGTGCCTCGGAGCTGGGAGTCATTTGCTTCTACGGTGGGGCTTGTTTCGGTGGAGCCGGAGGCATCTGCGGAGGACCCTGCGCTTTCTCGCTTGAAGAAGTTGGCGCTGGGTGCGGCGGTGGCGTTGGGACTGTTATACGAGCGGCATCGGTGTGTGGCTTGGCAGCGTTGACGGCATTTGTGCACAAGAAGTGTTCGAAGACGGCAGATGGCCAGTCAACAAAGAGGTCTAACGCATCCCATTCAAAAGAGACATCAAGATGGTCGAGGGAAGATGAACCCGGCCCAACATCAAGATGGTCGAGGGAAGATGAACCTGGCCCTATTGAATGCGGGAGGAACACAACCTATAGAACCTCTCCGCCCGTCGATCGCCCGACTCCGTTCGACTGTTGCCGGACCGGCACCCCGACGATCACAAAGGGTTTTGTTTCGTCTTGCAGCCATGGCCGAATGCGCATGTGCGCCATGAAGGCGCCGCCGACGAAACCTCCACCCAGGCATGTGGGCCTGGGAACGGATGAGCCTTGGGAGCTTGCGCGCTTCATGTCGCCGCCGACTGGCCTGGTCCGGTGGGAATGCCTTGGATGTGGCACCGCCAGTGGCGATTGGTGGGTGAGGGTCCTCAAGAGGCCCAGGGTGCGGCAGTTCCATCCGCTCCACAGAGGGACGCCTGTTTCGATCGGACGTCTCTCGCCAACCCGGATCACTGTGGTCTTCAGCCGGGGGAGCACAAGAGAAGCCTGGCGTCGACGATGCATCATCGATGACTGGGTGGAGAACAGAAATTCGGATGTAAGAGATTGCTATGAATGGTGTGGCTACACGTTCTTCTTCGAGAAGTTCGGCCCGGAGGCTGGCACTGTCGAGGGCGAGAGATCGTTGTCTTCGCAGGCTCAAATGCCGCTGCGGCCTGGTGGTGGAGAATCTCAACCCCGTGAAGGGTATGGAGGTGATGAGGGAACTTCTTCACATGCTGTGGAGAGGGGTCGGAAAGCTGTGGAGGCCTTAACTGGCACTTCATTTCATATGTCTCGTGCCTACGATGGCACGGCAATCCCTGCACGAGTCAATGTGACCTTGGAGGGTGTCCCTGCGAGTGGCTATGAGGCGAGGCGCCTTGGATGCCTGAGGAGGGGGGAGCTTGGCCCTTCCACTTCATCAAGAGTGGAAGATCCGAATGAGGAGGCATGGAAGGTCTCGCTGGAGAGTGAGCGGTTAGGTCCGCCACAAGCTGATGGCGTGCCGGTTTGGATGGGCGTGAAAACGCCGCTGGGAGGGTCTCCAGGCCTGAATTCTGATGGCGAGGACTCGCGATCGGCTGGAAGAATTGAATTTTTGGGTGAAGCCGTGGAAGAAAAAACCTACGGTGGATCCCCATAGGTATGCTGGTTTCAATGACCCAGCATAGGGGGAGTGTGAATGGAAGAACGCACGACCCAAAGCATACCTTTTCATGAAGGTCATGAACACCTGAGAAAGGTGAACCGGTCAATACGACCTGCGTTTGGCTCAAGGAACAACGTGAGCGGCTGTTTTTTGTCGGTCGCTCTTGAGGCTTTTTCCATAACCACAGTTTCAATAGAAGAAGACATGCCCCTGCGATCAACGAGGACCAAAGACTTGGGTCGATGACTGGGATGACTATGGAGTCCAAAACACAAAACCCAGCGTCCAAAAACTGCATCGGGCCAAGGTTTCAAAAGGCAAAAGCCTTGGTGACAAATGTCTTGCCGAATATCTGTATATTGCCTTGCCTTGCCCATGGAGATGTCATCTTGCCCGCCTCTTTGTCGGCGTCAAACTCCTGCTAGGAGTTTGCCATGTTGCTTAGGGAGCTGCCCTTAAATTCCTCACCATGCGTTCATTGAAACACCCTTGTTTTCACTCAGGGCTCAGCGCTATGGAGGAACCCTCACGCAGACTCTAGACTGTACATTCCTCTAAAGGAGTGGTCTGCTCCAGCTTTTGCACACATGCGTCCAAAGGTCAACTTTGTTTGAGAGATCAAGCAACTTCGGACAGTCGCGCTGCGATAGCTCCCAGGAACTCATCGTGACGGCAAAGGGGACAAAAGGGTCGCCCTCCCATCACCTGCGACCAGCTTTCCCAGCACTCTTTGCAGACCTTGTGGCAGCAACCAAGTGTCTCTGGTGCCCGGTCACCTGTCAGACAGTCTGTCTGAAATGCCTCCAGGCAAACAGGGCACTCTTGTTGGTCACTTTTGGCCAAAAATGCCAATTTCTTCTCGAAGCTTTCCAGAATGCGCGCCTGAGCACAGGTAGATGTGTGTGATGTGCGCAAGCCTGATTGGCTTGAGGCTTTGCAGTGACTGGTGCGGTGCTAACTCAAGCCAGTGCGCAACAGCAGTTTGCTATGTGACTGCGTGACTGGCATAAACTCTCAACTCAAAGTCTGCAACTACCACAAAACCGACAAGCTGGTATCACTATTTGTTATGTTGCTTGATGATGGTATTCACGTGTATTCGCCTAATATATATGTATATATACACATACAGTACGTTGATTGTATTAGTATACTTATCGTCTTGAAACAGCGGTATATAAAGTCCAAGTTGCCATGCTCAAGTTATTCCTCTCTGCTTTCTTCATCATGTGGTACACGAACCATTCTCTGGCATCATCTGGGATGCCCATCGCTTCCGTGGAATCGATTCGTTGGATCTGATTGTTCAAGTCCCCTGAAACAGCCGCAGGCAAAGATGGGCTGGTCTCATCGTTGAACTTCAGCAAGGTGCCACGCATCTCAGGGGTCGATTTGTGGTTTTCGAGCACGGTAACCCTCCCCATCTATCAAGATAAGAGCAAACAGTGGGAAACCCACCCTTGGTTGATAATATGTGTGGTCTTGATCGATGACATCGAAAGTATCCTTCCTTGTGTTTCAGGTGTGTAGTTGGACTAGGACAAACGTTTTCTCACTGAGCTCTTGCCTCCTCTACTTCACGTGCATAGCCTTCCTGATTGTGGAAAACCGAGCCGAATGAGGCAACGTAGTGACATACTGAGTCTCTCCACATGCTAGATACGATTTGACATGTTGAAATTTGTTGAGACAAGGTTGAGAGATGGTGAAGAGTTATCTGTGTTACAGTAGTTTTTTGAGGGGTCACCGAGTCACCCTTGTTTAGTTGATGTATTCAATCATGCTTGAGGCCGGCGGCTAGGGGTTGGTGGCGAAAGCAACAGTACAAGTAGCAGGGCCAGGTGAGGAAGGCAGGGCAAACAGGGCACAGGAATCGAATTGTGGGAGGAGCCACTGCTACCGGAGGTTGAAATATCTCAGCCCAATTCCAGCCAAACATGGCCGTTTCATGCCGTTTCCTTGCCAAACTTGTCTGCAAGCATCGTAGAGCATAAACTTAGCCGCGCATTCCTCTTCATTGGCCGGCTCTTTCCGGAGTTGTGCAAGCAGCTGGTCGATGCTGCGCCCTGCGGCTCCAAGCACAAAGCGTGGGAGGCGCGCGGGCACACACACACACACACACTCAGGAAAAAAAATAAAAAAGTACGTACAAGATGAATGCCGCACGCCAACCTAAGTGAAAAGGAGCCTAAGTACAGCATGCTTGGCGTCCATCCATCCTGAGATTCCAAGTTTCAGAGGTGCCAATTCCAAGTTTCATCGTGCGATGAGACCGACCGCAAGCGCTCGCATCTGCCAACCTGAGAGTTGCCTAAACAGCCTGGAGTCTAGAGAAGGTTGTGGTTACTGCTGCTCAACAACACAACTAAATCAACGTGCAGGTACAAGAGTTGGCGCCCCAACTCTTTTCAAACTTTTCTTGGCACGGGTGGTAATCAGTCTCTGTGCCCCGTGCTGAATAAATACGCCAAAGGGCCCTCCGTGACTTCATGGGGTTCACACACTTAGATCCATGCTCGCAAGAGCTGTATCAGTTTTGCAGTTCCACTCTAGTGATTACATTACCGGCTTAGAAAGCTGGGCAACCTGAGACCTGAGCCCTGAGAGGGAACGGCAAGGTGAATAAGTCCAAACAAATATCATTTACACCACCTGCTTTAAAAATAAAAATGCGCAGGTGCGTTTAAGCTCATGTGAGCGACGTTCAGGGTGGTTCCAAGTGAGTACTCTATATAAAATAACACTTTGTGTTCTAGATACTGCGTGAACGGTGTAGTGCAAGAACGAACTGATACCTTCAAAATGGCCCTGTGCACAACGGAAAGGCAATAAGTCCGGAACTGTATGGCTGAAAAGCACAAATAATCGATTTAAAAAGAAAAGTGATCAGCTCTCACTTCCCGTGAAATCAGGTAGCTTCGTTGGACATGGTCCCTGATTGCACGCCATGTCTTGCTGGGGTTAAACTGGCAAGGATGCTCATCGAATTAGGATGTGGCTGGTCAATAGTAGTGAAGGTAGTAGGGTAGTAGGGTAAGGTCCCTGGAGACGGGAGGTGACACACACACACACAAGAGAGAGAGAGAGAGAGATCACACACGCCGCACACAACATACGACTGCACTACACAAAATTAAAATACACAAAAAACTGAATGAAATTAAATGCAAATCAGACGCACAAGACACCCGTTGCTGCAAATCAAGCACAAATTCTAGAGTACTTTGGAGTTATGTAACATATATATATATATTTGTATACCTTAATAAGCACTCAAGAAGCTTTCTCCGCACGCGTTCAAACGCGCAGCTGGCAAGTACCGTAGCGGCCTGCCTGCGCTTTGTGGACCACCTTCTTCAAGGCCATCGTTCCCCAAGGCATTCAAGGCAGCAACATCCCCTGCTCCTATAAGATCTGCCACCTCTGCCATTGCCTCATCCTCCTCCTCTTCGGCTAGCAACTGGGGTGCTGCATCCGCCTCAGGACCTCTTGTGAAGTTGTCCCACCGTGCGGATGCAAATCTGGAAGAGCTTTCTTGGGCAGACATCCATCTGGTTTGCACTGCCAAATGTTCCGAGGCAGGCGTAATGGACATCTGTCTCAATCCTTCAGCGGCCAAAGCTCTCGAACGAATGACATGATTCTTCACAGACTTGCATTTCCGTGACTGCCTTTCCCGCTCTCGTGCTGATTCGATCCTTTGCTTCGCTGCTTCCCACTCCTCTGGGTTTCTCTTACTCTGCACCTGATCCACACGCCGTGCCCAATCGAGGCATGCCTCTGCACTACGTGTTGCGGATCCTTCGGAAAGGGCCATCGTGTTGTGCGCTGACAAAGTGCGAGCTAACGAGCTTGAACCTCGAAACTCTGGAGAGCTTGAGCTTTACATCACCGCAAAAGAGATGCGATTGTATTTTATTCAGGTAGTAACAAGTGCATCGCTACTAGTGCATCGCTAGCTAGAAAGCGAGCAATGGCTTCATAATGGTTATAATGAATATGGAATTCAGTCGAGGAAGGACCATCCGCTCCGTGCCTCCCTAACAATCGTGGAGAAGTCCCCGGGTGTTCCGAAGGTAATTGGGTACCGCAGGTCCTCACAGAAGATTTCAGCACTTTCTGCAGTCGAAGGAGGGGAGATCAAGCCGAAGCAGTCAACACGGTAAAGCCAGAACATTTTGCTGCTTTCTATTCGCTGCAGCTGTCTCTCAGTCGGACAAGGTGAAGTGCAGTCGCCTCACCCCCCTGTGCAATCCTCATAATCCTTTTCAGCAGCTGCAAAGAGCAAGCGAATGGTCCTGACCGCAATCAACATGTTTTCATTAGATCAATGAATCAATCAATCAATCCATCCTGACTTTGTTGGATCACACAAATAAAATTTCAACAAAATATAAGCTGCTGTTGTGGACAATCGTCTTTACATTGAGTCCAACAAAGCACATTTTCAGCCAGAAGCAAACGTTGCAAAAAGCAACAGATGAGGCACACACTCTGCAGCACCTTTTGCATCAAAATATCGGACTGTGAAACCTGGAAAAATCAGGGAAATGCACAAGAACAATCAAATCTTAAATGGGTTCAGGACTTGTTGGTTACACGCGTGTATCGTATATCGCATTGTAAGTGACTAGTGCGTGAAAACAAATGAACCACGTCAAACCCTTCAAGCTCAGGACTGTCTGACGCGCAGCGAGCAACTGTCACCTCATTGCAAAACCTACCGCCAAGTCAGCCTAAAGATTTTCTTACGGAAGATTGATGAGCCTTGCATAGCTCACAATCACGTCATGGTCCTGGTTTGTAAAGGAAAACAGACTGACCAGACTGCAAAGGTTAACAATGGTTAACATATGTTGGTTCCAGAACTGAACTTGAATATGCTAGGATGGAAGGACACTGAGGAACCAGTGACAGAACTTCAAGCAGGGAAGGCCTTCAACCTGACACCTCAAACATACCACAAGTACACTGTATGTACAAGTACTTCAAATACCCAAGCAAAAAGAGGTGCACCCATGTGACTGTTCCTTCCCTTTGTCTTGCTTTTAATTCCCCACCTGCCAGGTGTGGGTTGTTGGACTTTATCAGAGCTCTTCTCCTCTTCTTCTCCTCTCTGCCTTCTCCTCTCCTCTCCTCTCCTCTCCTCTCCTCTCCTCTCTCCTCTCCTCTCCTCTCCTCTCCTCGTCTCCTTGACAACAGCACCTCAACTGCCAGCTCCAGATCGCAGTGGGCTACACCTCAACTGCACGCGCGTGATCGCAGTGGGCGCTGCCCAACCTCAACAGCAAGCGCCAGATCGCAGTGGGCACGACCGGACCACAACCGCAAGTGGCAGATTGCAGTGGGCGCTGCAGGACCTCAACCACCAGCTCCCGATCGCAGTGGGCGCTGCCGGACCGCTCCAGATCACAGTGGGCACTGCTGGACCTCAACCGCCAGCTCCCGATCACAGTGGGCGCTGCCGGACCTCAACGGCCAGCTCCTTTGATGGCAGAACAAATGTCGGAATATATGTCAGAACACACGCCAACGAAGCTGTCAGAACACTGTCCAGAACGTTTCCCAGCCTTTATGATAGATGATGTGTCAGAGTACAGGTTTGATGCCAGCACAAGCGTCGGAACATCGTGTCAATCCGCACAAATCGCCTTTAACTTTCAGGGTGGGGATCACTCGAAGTAAAGAGTTCCTTTCTCTTCTTCTTTGGACCTTCTTCCATTTCTACTGTCCTTTCCTTTCTTTACTAGCCAAGACCTTCCATGCAATCCGTGATCCGACTCCACATTCGTAAATTCTTGTCGCCATCGATGCCGTGCGTTTGCAGTGAACTGGGGCATCAGCCTGACGGCCTGAAAGCTGCAGCCCGACGAAAGAGCATCCACTCCACACAGCCTTCAATGGACCGCACGCAGCCCAGTGGTCTTTTGATGGTGTTCCAATGTCTTCCATGGTCTTCACGCTCTTGTCTTCAGATCCTCTACACTTACTTGACAAATTGCCTTTTGTGTCATTACGCAACAAAACCAATTGTGTGCGTGTGCAAATTTGGTTGACAGGGCCGTACCAAAGCTCACCCTGCTCTCAGCGGAGATGATCCCAAGGGCTTCAGGAACAACTTGACGGTGTGTGGAAATGCTGTTCTTTTTGCAGGCTAGAAACTGCAAATCCCACTGGAGCCGCATGTGGAAAGACCTATGTCTCTTCGTTCCATAGGGGAATCGAACGAGGCTTCAACGAGGTCCCCACATTTCAAACATACTCCCTACCAAAATATAATGCTGCTGCTAAAGGTTACTGAACTATGTTCCAACACAGATTATATATACAGACATATCACCCACAAGAAACATCATGTTAACGAATGTGAACAGCAACACTCAAAACACCAGCAGCTGGTCGCAACATCGCACCAACTTCCTCAAAATGTTCCCCGGCTAAGAGCATGTTGGAACAAAACGCCTCAACTTCCACAACTGAGTCTACTAGTCTACCAGTAGCATCAAAAGAACACACTCACTGAAAGAATTTCTGAATTGCATGCCTTTCCAGTCAATGCACAAGCTAAGCATTATCTAGTTAATATTGAATCTTCGGCAGTCCGGCAAAATGCCTGCAGCAACAAGGCAGCTGCCAGCGCTGAGCGCCTGGCAGGCAAAAGATGTGTGAAAGGGCTGTCCTTGGTCAACAGTTCTTGAAGAATACTCGCATGCCAATTGATTGTCACATGTTGAAAGCTGATTGGTGTGCCAATTAGTTGTGTCAGCTGACCTTCAAGCAATCTAGAGTGGAACAAAGTACCTGCCGACCACTTCGCCTTCGCCGACTCCACATACGCTGCATTTGGAAGATGAGACTGGGAAAATGCAAAATATAAATGCTGCAAATCATGCAAAAACTTGGTTGTCATAGGCTGCGCACCCATTGCTAGTGCCTATTGCTAGTGCCTGTGTGATTGATGACACACTTTATGTCCTTGATCTCTCTGCCCCTAGCATCTCACGTGTACCTCTTAAAGCTCCTCTGACAAAGTTTTGAGCCGCAGTGTTCCAGGACATGAACAGCTCAACATTCTGATGGCAAACATGTGGCAAGATGGGAATTTGTGCAGGCCCAGCATGATACAAACGGTCTTGCTTTTCAAGCATGAAGGCTGTAAGTCATTCGCGGCTGGCCAAATGTTAGGCCCCCCCAACTGCGCCAGGAGATCAGCACAGGCTTCTTCAGCTTGCGCTGCAAGCCAAACAGTTGTGAACGGAAAACAGCCACAATCAACACAACGGCAAAACAGCGAACCAGCAAAATGCAAAAGGGCCACTAAGGCCATACGTCCTTGAACGGGTGAGTGCGGGTGTGACTTTGGAAAATGAGCCGCGACCCTTGTAGATCAAAACCTGTCGTGAGCTCCCGATGTCTGTGGAGCAAGCAAAACTAATAGCATCCTTGCTCCTAGTAGCGATGCCCCTTGTTCCTAGTAGCTTCTTGTTACTAGTACTAAGACTAATGCCTGGAGCCGGAGCTACTCATAGCGTCCTTGCTCCTAGTAGCGAAGCTCAAGAAGATTGTTCAAATATGTTCTATATAATTGTCAGCCAAGCTGCATCAAGCAGTTCCTCCAGTGCCTGCTCCTACCAAGGACTTGACACTGTTCTTCACCTTGGCCGAGCCGGCAAACCAACACGCGCAAGGGCCACCTATGTTTGCGGCAGAAGCTTGAAGAACCCTGGCGTCTGTCGACGTCTTGCCGTAACCACGTCGAAATTGCAGACTCCGCACCTGTTCAGCAGAGTCCATAGACTTCCTGCACAAATAGTTTGCCGACCTCAGTCCCCACTAGCACTCTCAATAATCTTCAGTCTATGTCCTTGCCTAGTTGAATATGCTCACAAAAGTTGTCCAGTGGATTTGCTGTTTGTAAAAAATTACACCATGTTTCATAAATGATCATAAATGTTCGTATTCATATTAATTCATATCCAATGGCATAAACATTCCAGCTTGGCATAAACTTCCCGTTTGCATTTTGTCCCTTTCCGCTTCTGCGGCACCTCTTGATGTCGTCTCGGTAGGTGAAGCCTGCGAAGCCAAGCGCACCACCTCAGGGATTCCAATACGTTCCAATGCGTCACGAGGTTCAACAACATGAAGTTGGGTCACTTGGTCTTAATATGTCTTGCATTCTGATGTGTCATACTTGTACATACAATATCATACGATGTAATACGACGTGTGTGTATGTCGTATGTGTTCAATCTCTCAGGGCACCTCAACTAGGACTTCTTCATTGACCGCCAACGCATATTCAGAAGTCAGGCAATCAATCACACTCAGTTTACACACAACATTGCTTAATCAAATGACCGATCGGTTTATGAATTTGTCTGAGAACAGACAGAACAGATATTAAATATGTACAGAGAGAGATCGGCAAGCATTCACGGAGCCTTCTTTTTGAAATGCTTCCGAGTTCCTCTCAATTGTTTCCCTTTCCCTTTCCCCACCAAAGCGAACTGACAAGACACAACAAATCATTGTTTAGCAAGTGTAACAAATCCCCACAAATCACTTACAGTTACCATGTCAGCCACTGATCACAAAAGAAGTACGTAACCAGACAATACTAGTACGCCGATACATCACCACACAGCACCAAACAACAACCACCACGGAGCAGTGAGCGCCCGAAATCACCCACACCCACAAGTTACCGCATCTCGAATTCGAAAGAAATTAAACGCTAAGGCGCTAAAGTATGCTAAAGTCAAAGCCTCTGAGCTACAGCTACTCATCCTAAATGAGGCTCCAGACCTTATTAAGATTATCATTCAATAAGATTCCACCATAAGACTCCATTTTTCATCGCTATTGGGAGGGAGGTTGGGAGCCATCACTACTAGGGTGGAGGCCATCGCTACTAGGTTGGAGGCCATCCCTACTGGGGTGAAGGCCACCTCTACTAGGGTAGGGCGGAGGCCATCGCTACTCGCAAGGAGGCCATCGCTAATAGGTTGGAGGCCATCGCTACTAGGGTGGAGGCCATTGCTACTAGGTTGGAGACCATCGCTGCTAGCTTGCCGGCCACCTCCACTAGGGTGAGGGGGTTGGAGGCCATCGCTACTACGGTGGAGGCCACCTGCGCGCAGGCCACTCTAGGGTGGAGGGTCGAGACCATCGCTACTAGGTTGGAGGCTATCGCTGCTCGGGGCCAAACCAGGTGGAAGCCAGTTGTCGCACAGGGCCGCCAGCCGAGCACAATGCAAAAGGTTCCACGCATGTCAAGGCACAGCTGTCACAGCGCATTTTACTTTGTTGACTGAGAACACGTGAAGATCGAAATCAGGATCTGCGCTGGTGTTGAAAGGAATGCCTGTTTGTTTGGCAGGTCTGCCATCCTCACGTGATCTTCCAAGAGCGCCATTGGGGCGTACCCGAATCCAGGTCATATCGCGCATACGTTGTCCTGAGGGAAGTTCCTGAAGATCGAGCGTGGTGAGCTACGTGCGACGACATCACCTTTGTCACGCCAGCCTGGACTCTCAGACAGCTGGAGGAAGGCGAAGATCGGCAGTGCTTCATTCAAAGGCTCTCCATCCAAGGTGGCTGACGATGAGCTCAAGAAAAGCTGCTTCTTTCCAGTCTTGCCCTATTCCTGGTTGAACGTGTAGCACCAGCGGATACCCGCGGCCAGTGGCAAGGATTCGGCGCAAATAGGCCTCATCCTCATCCATCTCCCACACATAGTGAGCAATGCTTCCGCAGCAGTCTGCTGCCAGGTGTCGGTGTCAAGCCCACATTCAGCCGCTTCCTCAACATCTTGAGACAAGCCTTCAGCTTCCATCTGAAGCGCCTCATCCTAAGAAGCTGGGGCGTCAGCCACGAGCTCATCGTCCTCCTCCTGCTCCATCTCCACCTCAGCCTCCGACACGGCTTCTGAAACCTGTAAAACCTGTAGGCGCTGGCGCGTGAGATTGCCGTCGATGAAGAAGATCTCATATAGACCTGGGCGCAGAGTTTGTCATAGAAGGGGCACAGGATGAAGCTCGACTCGAACTTCTGATTCAGGAAGCGCTTCAACAACCTAGGGCTTGCGGCTGAGGGCATGGAGCTCCTTGAACAAGCACAGCACTTCTCGTTCAATGCGCTCATAATCCTCAAGGAGCTGAGTGCGCAATGCGTCCAATCCAAGCTTGGACTTAGAACCACCCAAGTTTTCTCGAAGGAAGCTGCACTCCTTCAGCGCGGAGATCGGACACAAGCGTCCGGAAGCGCGCGCTGAACTCTGCACTGCGCTCTCCAGGTCGGCGACGAAGCTGCAATTAAAACTGGTTCAGCTCTCCTGGCTTGTCCCAAGGTCGTCTTGCCATTGATCTCCTCAAGAGCTTTCATGAGCTTCTGAATTCCAGCTAATGGGCTGGCCGGTGTGATCACCACCTGCTCCTTTCTGCTGGCTGGCACTCAAGCTGATGGGGGGGTAACTCTTCTACGCATTGTCCAACCACCCCTGACTGTCTCTGTCAACAGCCATCGAGCTGCAAGGTTGTACTTGGTCGTCGAAGCCAAGTCCAATGCCGAGCACCGCCAGTCCATCTCTCTCTTGAACCCTCGTCATGTCTGAGGCGAGCCGTCCCAAGTTGGGACTCTTGCCCATGCGCCGCCATTCCCCTCCCTCTTATCCGACATGATGCCTTAGGCAAAGTCAGCAAAAATGGCAAACGTGATATAGTGAGACTCAAGTCCGCAGGGGCAGAAAGATGAGTTCAGCCCACCACCGACAGCGGCGTCTCCGGCGCCTGCCGGTCACCACCAGGTAGCGAGGTCCAGGGAGGACAACAATATCTTCTTCCGTGATCGATGCCAGGATCAGGTAGCAGGTCACCCAGCACAAATGCCGAAAGGAGAGTGGCCTCGATGCAAAGGGAGCCCTCAAAGGCAAAGCGAAGTGCGCAGCAGCAGCGGCGCGTGCCGCTCCAAGCAAGCTCGCCCAAAAGGCCAAGACCGCCAGCTCCGGTGCCACTGTAGCACACGGCCGCCAGCCGAGTGCAATGCAAAACAGCGCTTTTCCGGCGATGGACGAAATCGCGTAAGGTAAACCTTGTGGCTTTGGGCCTTGAGGAAAAGTGGCAACAGCAAAAAGGCCACACCTCATGCCCTGAACGGGTTCCATGTCAAGGCACAGCGTTCACAATAGTGGAGGCCATTGCTTTTGGGGTGGAGGCCACCTCTACTAGGGTGGAGGCCATTTCTACTAGTTAGCTTGTTCGCATCGTGGACCGTCGCTCCAAGGTTCCGACCGCTGACAGCACCTGCGCCACCCCCAGTGGTCGCTCCAGCCACGAGGCCGATGGAAGCGCCAACCGGGATCGACAGACCAAAGGTGAAAAGGGCCGGCACCTCGTGAAGTGTAGCAATGAAAAGGTGCAAAGAAGCTCTTTAAAGCAACAAAATGAAATCAGTGACGCTAAGAAGAAGAGGCGTTAACGAACCGCAAAAGAAGCAAATCGAAGGGAACAACAGGAAGGAACATTTGGAAGACACTTGGATTACAAAAATAGCTCTGTGCAAAAATGGCTGGCTTCATGGTAAGGCTGGAACCATTCCAACAGCTCCACCCGCTAGTGCACCACACACGCCGCCAGCTGTGGAACCCATTGTCCCACCAAGCACAGCCATTGCGGAAGAGACACCGGAGCGGGTGCCGGTGGTAAAGTTCCACGCCTCTCCAGCCTCAGTCAAGGCCAAATCCAAACACCGTTGGACACAACATGGCCTGACATACACACATATATATATATATACATATAATATATACATATATTATATACAGATATATATATATATCATTATATATCATCATAAATCCTCCAATCCACATCAATCCACCTGATGTAGTTGTCTGTCAAGTCACCTTGGCCTTGGCGAGTGCTGCAGCCACACCAGACTTCTCCTTCGCTCCAAAAAACACTGTCAAAGAACTTGGAAGAACGTGGCTATGCCTTCTAGATCTTCCTGGATGTTTTTTTGCTTGTGTGAAGTACCAATCGTCCTTGGCAATGGCCATGGCAAACTCTGCCTGGGTCGAACAATTGCACGTCATTCCCCGCAAAGGTGAGAAACAGCCTTGATCCATGCCTTCTCTGTAGCTTGTGCCGCCCTGTTTTGGATCATGAGTTTTGCGGATGAAGCAGTGCCTGGAGCATCACAGTAAACACTGCCGACCTTATTGCAGCCTATAGAAACAAGTGTCACCTGGCCTTTGGCCTTCTCACAGCCGTCAGACACAAATTTGACGGCCTGCATCAAGCTCCAATCAAGCTATTGTGAAGCCCACGCATGCATCTACAAGTTCTTGAGTCGAGAGTTCATCATGAACTCTGCACCTTTACCTTCACTTGAACGATGCCATCCTTGATTTGAACCTTCCAAGGCAAACACACGCACACTGGCACATGCTGCTGTTCACCCCCGACATCCGCTGGCTCCGTTCTCGCTGAGGATTTGGCCCTGTACTTGTAGACGCAATAACCACCAGCTCCGCCTGCGGTCCCACCAACAGTGCTGCCAAGCAGGAGACCTCTCAACAGGGCAAAGTGGCTGTCAGAATGGACTTGCGTAAAATATCGTATGCTGCTTTGGGTGATTGAAACCTTTGCCAGAGCCTCACTCAAATATATTCTAACACATTCTATGCTCTTTTCATCTTCGACTGCCGGGAATACTCGACCAACCTGCAACTCCTCCACATAGTGCCCCGGCAGGAATTGAGAGGCCAAACCTCCGTTACTTCGATGACAGCCGAGGCGGTTTGCTGTCCCTGACCACTGGATCATGATGGACCATGCTTCATCATGTTTGAATTCAATATTAATCAGACTATATCAGACTTATATATATATATATCGAATTATATCGACATGAATGAAATGGTATGAAATGGTTGCAATGCAAATGCTATTCAGCCCGCCAATCTGCAAGAGGCCACTTCGAAGATCCACAAATGTTTTAATATCCGAGCTTAAATACAGCAGCAATATACAGCATATCAAATCAAGCATATGAACTATTAAGCTACTAGAAACAAGTGCATCGCTACTAGGAGCAAGGGCCTTACTAGTACTAACAAGAAGCTATTAGAAACAATAAGCTACTAGGAACACAAACTTGATGCTGTGTGCGTGCCAAGCTGCGTGGCAAGTGCTGGAGCCAGCCCGACGGCCGAACCAACGACTACTCCAGAGGCAATGCCGAAAGCACCACCGGTGGCTCCGAGGACGATGACCTAATAGCGCAAAAACAGGAATGGCCTCCAACCTAATAGCGATGACCACCCTGGTGCAGATGGTTGGGCAAATGGGATTCTTCCAACATACCACAGCTCCTTTGTCCCAAATGAATGAGATGGTGTTCGTATGTGTTGATCGGCAACGGCTGACAATTACATTTTGTAACTTTGCAATTTCCTGAGGTTGCCACCCCACCAGTTGTGGAAATCGTCAACTTCTGAAACTCGGGCTCCTGCAAGGTGATTGGCAAGATTTCTCAAGCAAGGGCATGGAAGGGGAAACAGCGACAAGCACCGAGCCTTCACCCGCGTCAACGCACGTGCTTTCAAGTCCTCCAAAGTTTAAAGAGAACGGCAGGAGAACTACTCTCGATTACTCTGGCCTGTGCTGATCTGCGAATGTCAGCAAGCTTCTCTGACATCTGCAAGATTGCAACAGGCTGGATCACTTCACATCAAGAGGCACATCAATGATCATCCATGGCCTTCGAGGTACCTTCTAGAGTGCGCAACGGAGGTGGGGTTGACCTTTACATCTCTCCGGTTTGCACATCTCTCGATTGTTTTGCCTTAAGGCGCAGACTTTTCCAAGGCCTGTTCAGACAAAACCAACAGCATGACAGTTCAGACTGTTGTCATGTTGTTGTTCCATTTGCCAGGCAAAGTCACATAATTCCATTGCAACTATGTGCAACCTCTCCAAAGTCACAATGTTTGTTTCAACTTTGCCTCCTCAAGCCGCTTGATGGGCGTGACACGTGCTTCAGCTGGCACGCGCTTCAATTGGGAGTCAGCATCCATGGCCTGTCGAATCAGACCACTTGTGAAGGCGTCTGCAGGATAGCTGTTTTTCTTCCCATACATTTCATTCATGCATGAGCACCTCTGGCATCGCGAATTGGAAAGCTTCCGAAAGCTGAACCAAAATGCGCGATGAACCACAGCCCGGCTGTGAAACAGCAACTCTCCCTGCAAAACCGGTGAAGGCAACATCATTCAACAGTAAGTGGTCGGTAAAACAAAACCTTAAACCAAAAAATAAACGCAGCACGCGGTTTTGTTCGATTGGTCAGGACCAAACATGCAAATCAAAGCCTCATATTCAGACTCTGATTCTGCTAGCGGCCACGCATCACAAGTGGAGCATCTCTTCCATGTTATATAGTTAATTATTTGCCATATATATATATATGTGTGTGTGTGTGTTACATCGTTGTATGTATGTGTGACGTTACTACACTCTGAACGGAGCCGGTGAAACATGGCTGGTCCAACTAAGAGAAGCCCTCAGGTGACCAGACCTGCAGATTTTCCTGCCACGGCCGAATCAGGCCGAATCGCTCTGTCATGGCTATCTTCACCTGCTCCGTCCCTCTCTAAAGCTAACATGAAGACCTAAGTTGTTGAGTCTAAACTCTAAACCCTTTGACGGTCCACCGCAAGTCCTGCAACAGCGCAAGTATTGGATGGGCGTCCCTTACAGCTTCCTTCCGGGAAAGTGCTCTCGATGCTTTAGTCTGTTTTCTCAGCAAAAGACATTGGTTGGAAAAACGTTATCCAGTGAAGCCTTTGGATAATACTTTATCTGATCATGTCTCTATTTGTGCCTGTGGCATGCCTTCAAGAGCCCGCACAGCCGACAAATATGCATCCTAACTGGACCAGTGCAGGCTTCTGATGGTTTCTGTGCTGTTCGAAGCGTCTTTGATTGCTTGGTGAAGATCACAAAACTGATTGAGCTTGCAACCTTCGCTATCCGCACGGCCGAGGAATCGTCCTCTGTGGATGCACTTGACTTCTCTTTCAGCACTCTCTGGCCCCAAAGCTTACATGTCCAATGTTGGGATGCTGTGAAGCAAAGGGTCCTTGCGGATCACTTGCTGGAAGACCTACCAAGTGAATTATTGGCGTTTTTCGTTGAGAAATGTTTTTCAGGTCCCACTTTGCTCTCAGGTTCTGGCTGCATAATTCAGAGCGAGCCCAAGGCGCACAGGATGCGTGACCATGAGATGCCTCTCTGCCTCAGTGAATTATGATTGCCAGCAGTTTCAAAACAGGGATTGTGAACAGTAAGCCCAGTTCACATTATGCTAAACCATTGAATAGAATGAGATCAACAAGCCAAAACAACAAAGTTGCCATGTTCTTGACTATTCTCGTGCCTCAGCCGTCGCATCTGCATAGACTTCAATCGCGCTGGCAACTGCCTGCGAGGAACAAACACCTGTATCATTACAAGTTCTTGTACGGGATTGATATAAAATGTTGTAGCAGCGTTGTGGGCGCCACAAAACGAAATCGCGCAAAAATGATGTTGACTGCTTGGTTGAATTGTGTGGTGGCAAGTAGAGCAGTCGCGGGAGAACAAGGACACCGAAAGATAACATGTGTGTCCAACATTGTCTAACCATAATCACAAGTCTTTGCCCATGGATGTTGAGATCTTCACGACGCGTGGACACGTTGACGGCAAACATGCTTACCGAGAAACATATATAACATGATACGAGTATGTCGGTGTCAGTCCAAGTCGAGACTCTCAAAGCCTCTACAAACTTACCGTATCTGCATGACCCAGCATCATCCGGCAAATGGAAATACAACGTAACATGGCAGGGACAAAGCAGGAGTCAACATCAGTGATGGAATGGGAGGTGGAGAAGTGCCCCCGCCCTTCCGGTGGACTCAGGAGTTCCTCGGTTGCTCACAAAGTGCCAGAAAAGAGTGAAATGACTTTTGTGGAAAGACTACCACCAAAGAATAAGGCTATGAACGAGACATTTGTGGATGGCGGTCAATCTGTGGTTTGACTCCAGTCCAGAAGTCTGTGAGAAGAAGTATGGTGCCATGGGGAAAATCTTGTCTCGGAAGCGGGGTCAAGACGTCAAGAATGAAGAAAACGTGCACACTGGGAAAACATAAACTCTACCCCCCCCCCAGCACAGTCTCAGGCTGGCTACAAAAAAAGTACCGCAGGCTTCATGGATGGTCACAACTTGCCCCGAGTTCATCAAGAAGCATGTGTGTATGTGTTTTCAAGCTATATACCGAACGGTTCCAATTTCCTGTGCTCTCTGATCAGGAGCTGCAAAAGGTGACTTTGAAGATGTTTCAGGGTGAAATTACGATCCCACTCTGTTTGAGATGGTTGAACCAGGCATCATGATTGTGATCATTCATCGAAGGCTGCAAACTTGTCAGCAAGTCATTTCTGCCTCCATGCTGTTTTGAATGATCCATTATCAATGAATTTCAACACGAATATTGTAAAATGATGTAGAAACTGCTACAATGTACTACTAGCATCATTTGCATAACTTCACTATACAATGCACAAAGCGCATTACGAATTGAAAGATGTCGAACTTTGAATAATGATAGAAATATATAAAAATATATTGAGTGGCACACAAGCACAAGCAAACATTGCGTTCAAAACCAGGACCTCTTTGTGGCCATCCCCTTCGAGGAACTCTGCCAGGTATCTGTAATAGTCGGCCTGTTTGGGAACCGATTGAAGAGGAGCGAACTGCGAATGAAAGAAGATTGGGAAGATGACTTGCAGTTTCTTGTAGAAGACCATCGGCTCCCCATTCTCTGCTTTTGGCCTTATCTGTTCCAGACAAACGCACATCCACACAAAGGAAATGATGAGTCTCTGACAAAAGAATTCCCTCGATCAGCTCGAGGATCTGCAAATTGCAAAGATCTCCAAAAGGTTTCGAGGGCGCTCTTTAATGTTACCCCACCTGGATACAAAGACCTTGCAACTCCAAGCGGACCTCTGGTGTCAACTTCAAGTCAATCCACAAGGCATCAAATCGCGATTAGGTTGGAGGCCGTCGCTATTAGATTATAGGCCATCGCTATTGAATGCTGTCACGGTGACCGCCTTGCCTTGGTCAAATAACCTGATGTCAAGGCAGCATTTTTTCTCTTTGTCCGCTTCCTCCTGAGAGAAAGCACTACTAGCAACAAGAAGCTACCAGTAACAAAGGGCATCGCTACTAGGAGCAAGGACGCTACTGACTAGTCACTAGTAGCCATTTGCTACAACTAGTAATGCCCTTGTTACTAGTAATACTAGTAGGAACACTTCATTCAGCCTCCTGAGTGCCAAAAGATCTGTCGCTCGCCTCTTGGCTCTGAATGCTCTTGCACACCCGCACTGCAAGGCGGCGGTTGCTCATCGCACTCTGTGGCCAACTAGTAGCAATCGATGCATTTTGTTGCTAGTAGCGATGCCAGGAGCTGCTAATAGCTTCTTGTAATAGTAGAAATGCCCTTTGCTCCTAGTAGCATCCTTGCTCCTAGTAGCGATGCCCTTTGTTACTAGTAGCTTCTTGTTCCTAGTAGTAAGGCCAGGATCGCCCCTAGTGGCGTCCTTGCTCCTAGTAGTAATGCCCTGTGTTACTACTCTCGCGTACCCTTTTGCTTCAAGGTTGCTGCTCATTGGTCGAATACACTTTTTTCACTGCCAAACACAAGCTATGACAAGCTCTTTGGACATCAAGTGCCTTGAAGGCTGCGGCAAGCATTTCTCTCTCTTCTCTGCTGAGAGCTTTGCCAGCTTTTACTCTGTCCTTTGCAGCTGCATTGGAGAAGTATCTGTAAAGCAAAACAACACTGTTGTATTGCAATAGGAAAAGTCCCCAAAGACATCTGGGAAGAGCAAAATCAAGCAAACACCTACTGGTTGGTGAAAGCAATCTTGCTAGCCCGCCTTGACGGGCTGAAAAGGTTCTCACTGTTGGGGTCTTGGTGTTGAAATAAACATTACATTACAAATCCAGGCCAAGCACATGAGACAAGCACAAAATCAAATCAACAAGGACAATGTATTTGACTTTGTAGTAGATGCATACAGTAATAATCTTGGACTCTCTCAGATAGTGTATTCGACTCCCTTGCTACACCTTCATGTACTCAACCATGTCGTCGTACCGCTCTGCTCGCTCAGCAACATTGGCCAAGATGATGGCTTCCTCCTAGTCAGTCTGAGAAGGCAATCTTGACTGTCTCACTAGGCTTGTAGACTGGGAAAAACATGCACTCATGATGTAATCTCACTAGAATCCTAGAAGTGAATATCATATGCTCCAATGTTCATTGCCTTTCTCTACAGCAACGGCATAAGCCCTAAGCCTGGGGTCCATTTACTTAGCCTCCTCAAAGCTCCTCTGGTGGAAGCGAGGCTTGTTTTCGGCGGCCCATGGTGAGCCACTTTCAGACTGATCAGGTGCCAGTTGACCGTCCAAGTTATCCTCCACAGAGTTGCAATTGAAACATTAAGAGATAGCATGGAAGGCATTCCAATATCAAAAGGTTTGGCACAAAATACATATGTATATATACATATACACATAATACGACTATATACAATCACGTCTGTATTTGTGTAAGATGCAGCTTCATTTCAAGCAAGCTTTAAAGACAAGCCAAACGCTGCAGGAAAAGGGTTCCACACGTAGGTTTCACTACTGCAACTCGAAAAATTGTGCAAACTGTTCTCCGGAGAGAGAACATCTCATGGGCTTTTGCGAGTGGCGCACAGCAGTTGAGTTCAACCGCCGTCGGCAGACACATGAGTCACATTATGTCACATTAACATACATTATACATTAACCCTTTGCGAGCTCATTGGCATCACTTGTGAGACAGCTTTCCGGCGTCGTTCAACACGACGGCCATCCTGTCGTTTCAAATGCGGAGTACTTCATTGGCCTCTCTTTCGAGACTGCACTCCAGAAGTTGAAGCCGTCTTAAAATTTGCCCAATGCTGCAAGAAGCCAAAACACATCGATATCACTGTAGTATCAATTCCATCCTGGGGCGCACGTGCAGCATTGCTTCAGCTAACACATGCTGACACTAATTGTGCGTGTCTTAATTCTTGGAAGAGTGGTGGCTGAGTTGTCTAAGAAAAAGAAGTACTCCATCAGTTCATCAGTGTTTGGGAAGGTCCTGGTCTTCAGTCAGCTTTGCGCCTCTGGACAAACAGGCTCAGAATTTACACTTCAGTGTCTGGAGTCAGTCTAGCCCAAGAAACTTCAATGGTTGCACCTCTGCTGTAATGGAGTCGGCATGTCTTTGGACCTGAGTTGCAGAAATTAAGCTGAGAGCACTTGAGCGACAGACCGACCTGAAAGGCAGAAGAGAATTGAATCCAAGAAAAGCAACAAAGCCACGGCAATGGCATCAAAGTCTTCGTGCTGGCTATTGGCATCAAAAGTTGTTCTTTGAGGGAGGCCATCGCTACGTATTAGGATGGAGGCCATCGTTTTTACGAAAAAAGCATCATCTTTCCAGAATGAGATTCTTGGCTCCTCAGGATGAATCTGGTCATGGTGAGGGACCCCCAAAACTGTTTTGGCTAATCTGTTTATGGGAAGGATCCCCAATAGTAGCAAGTGGCATGAGAGAATGCGGACATGTTCAAAAGCAGAAGGCGGCCAACCAAAATTAACTGGGAGGGTTAACGTGCAAGAGTCAAGAGTGAAACATTGCACACAAGGTAGATCAAAGGCGTTTAGTATTCCAGGAGGTCATCCACATTACAAGGTGGGAGGCTGTTATTATATAATCCTGTGTCTACATCATATCGAAGAGACTGACACAGCACTACCATCAGGACTGCTATCATTGCTGCTGCTACTGCTGATACTACCAGCGCTTCTACTATTTCATCTGCTGCTTCATCTTCTACTTCTACCACACGTAGCACTAACGGAGCCCCCCAATCGTAACATTGCCACACCCTTCTTGATTTCTGGAGCCTCTACACAAAGCCGTCATTCAATCGGAAGGCCTGCGAGCTCAAATGCTCCACTTGTTTTCTGACCTGTCAGGCTTCAACGTTCAGCCAATGGGCCAATGACGAAACGGATTTGATGTGAGATGTGAGTGTAGTGCCTGTGCGTCCAAGAATTCAAGCTGTTCCTTCACCTGCAGTCAAGCTGTTTGAACACCAAAAAACAAAATCTCACGGGCGAAGACAGGCAAACCGGCCTTCCCGTTGGACAACAGACCTTCAGAGCTCCGGGTTTACGAAGGACATCAACGACTCCAAATTAACATTCAATCGAAGTGGCTGTTGTCACTGGTTCGCATTGCTGGAGGGCCCCAGACCTGAGCTGGATGTTCACAGAATTTAATCTGACTTGGGAATATGGAATATGAATGATGAAGCAAAGGATAACAACATAGAAAAATAAGATCTTCGATATACTTCGATGATCTCGTTCCAAATTAATTGGTCCGAATCAATCTGCAAAGCGACCTCCCAGGGTTGAAGTCCAGTCTTCAAAGGTCGGGCCTGCAGATTCAGCAGCGTTGCGTGCAGGGCTGTTTCATCTGCACCGCATTGGGGCTCCGACTGCGGTCTCCAATGCATAGGTTGGAGAAGGTCTTGGCAAAGTGCATGGGAGGTGCTTTAGAAGCTTTTAGAAATGTGAAGCACTTGACCAAAGGATTACTGTACAATAACAAGAAGCTACTAGGAGCAAAGGGCATCGCTACTAGGAACAAGGACGCTACTAGGGGCACTCCTGGCCATACTACTAGGAGCAAGGACGCTACTAGGGGCACTCCTGGCCATACTACTGGAGCAAGGACACTACTAGGGGCACTCCTGGCCATACTACTAGCAAGGACGCTACTAGG